TAAAGAATTAAATACATCTGAACTATTTATATGAAAATTATGGACTTTTCTGAATATCTATGGACCTTCAAGGGGCATTTGTGAACATTTATTAACTGTGGTCATCCTGCTCCCTTTGGACCAACGGCTTCTTAGTGTTTGTTATGTTTATAATTGCATTTCCTTGTTCTAATTGTTTTTTTTTCTCTAATCTGCAGCTGGCAAACAGAGTCCTCTGAGATGATTACTGTTGCAAATTCGGGCTATACAAAAATATGTTGTTTTTAATCCTGGGTTTTATGAAGGAAATCATTTTAAACCACCTCACCAAATGAGTTGAGTGTGTCAAGAAAGAACATACAAAAAATATATCAAAATAAATTGTCTTATTCAAGCAATTATGAGCACAAGTTTGATGGGTTGAGGTGAAGTAATGACAACCATAGACAATCAATGTGATTTTTAGAGTTTGAATAATATAAAATTCATATTGTACAGGCCAAAATCTCAACATCCAACTTACAAATAGCTCATATGCTATAGCAAAAATGGAAAATTTCTATATATCTCAACAGTGATAGTATAAGGTTGCATTCAATTTAATATTTAATTTAGTGATATGGTAAGCATATCAATTCAAAACATTAACTGACTGTACATGCAAGGCGTGTAACATAATATAGCCTATAGAACTACTTTTTTACAAATCAAACTTTGAAAACACTACTTCTTGAGTTCATGAAATCTTGTTCCCGCCTAAAAATGCTCTTTGTGTGGCTACGTCTGAAAATGTACGACTTTGCCCCTGAGTTTGGCGACATGCTCTTGTCCGCGGGGCCACCTCTGCCGACGTGTTGCAGAGGATTAGGGGGCTCTTGGCGGCTCCTTCAAAGTTAGACCCAGCACGGCCGCTTCGATTATGACCTTTAGATTTTTTCAAAATGAGACTCCAATGAATACTGGCATTTTTTTCCCAGGGCCAACTTGAGCTGTCCGTCTGACAAAAATGAATGCATAATCCAAAGAGCCACAAAGGCAGGAGTGCAGGCCATCCTGGAGTGTTGTGCTAGCTTGCTGAGAGTGGCTTTATATTTCATTGCCTTCTTTGAGGTTGGGAGTGCTATAATAATGATTAGAAACTTTAAAGACTAGATTGAAGTGCGGAGCAGGAAGCTTAGTTTGTGAAGTCATTGTGCGGCTGGTTTCTTGATGGGAAATTCTTGTGATTCTATTTATGTGGGGTCCACTTGTCATAAGAACAAAATGTGAAGTTTGACCACCTAAAGATGCCACACTGCATGGCTTTATGTTCAGTGGGGTAATGGAAGATCGCTTGTAATGAATAAGTACTCAGCAGTGAGGCAGAAGGGCTGTCACACGCCCTTTTTTATTCACTATGATTTCAAGACAAAATAACTTAAAACAAATTCAGAAATAACCCCTCTCCAATAATTGTCGAATGTGCGTACAAACCAAAATGTTACGTGCAGCACTTTCCCCATTTGTGATCGATGAAATGACTTAAACCCTCAACTTAACTTTGTGATCTGGTCAAACCTCTGTATAAATAGTTGCTGAATGTTTTTGTTTTGTTACAGACATTTCTAATAAGACATTTCTGTAACAAATGTAAAGTTAAATAAATACATAAGGTCTCGGTCCTGTTAATTTTCCTCTCTGGTCTCAATTCTGTGAGCCAAGTATAATGCTGGCTTCAAACTGCAGGAGTTTTTGTATTTTGAGATTTCAAATCATGACAGACCACAGACATAAGGATAATCTGAAAGATTTTCTCTCATTGTCGCAGAGTTCACTCGTGATATCTGTAGGACATGGCTGCGTTCAAATTCAACACACTTCATACATTACCCTGAACTTTATTTTTTTTAAATAAATACATTAGGAATCAATATTACATATGGCGTCCATACTTACTTTGTTAATTTCACTTTACCAAAAGTGCACAAACATTGTTGCATAAATAGGTAACTTTATAGAATTCAATTTAATTCATTTTTGTGACTACATCAGTTGTCTCTGATGACTTTACAAAGTTGTAGCCAACGACAGATCAGAGAATCAAACAGCTCAAACACATGAAAAACAATAACAACAAACACATAGGAGCCATTTGTCCATATGGTAGCTTGATGACCAATGTCCAAATGTAAATAGATGTGCGTAAATGTGCACAAATATCCATAAATGTCCTGGATCATCATCACTGTCTTTAGACCCTTCTGTATCGGCAAGAAACAACGCAAATAACAACAAAAAAACAATGTGTGAAACCTTGGGAAGGCCCACATTGAGAGAAGAATACGCTCCCACAGACGGACGGAGGGGCTATAGATCCAGACCTCAGGCTGTGGAGCGAGGACTGAGGCTGTGCGGTGCAGGACTGAAGAGGCTCCAGGGCAGGGAGGGGGATACGGGGATCCCATGAAACAGACAATGAAACAGCGGATGAATAGCAATGAAGAGACTACAGCTGAAGTCATAATAATGACGGATAAAGTAGAAGAGGATAGTGCTCAAGTTAGCATACTTCCCAGCAAAGTATTCCCATAGGCAGCTTTACTGACAATCTGTGTGTTTTTTACTTACTTCAAGTTGTATATCTATGTCTTACCTTCTTAGCCATAATCTGAATTAAAGGAGAATGTTGTAGAGACTGTGAGTGCCTCCCGGAAGTGGGTGGGGAGCTGATTCCACACTGAGCCCACTGGAGAGTCTGAAACATTGACATTGATGAACATAGTTACTGAACATCACTGATCAGTAAGCCACATTTAACATTTTAGGACGATGTAGACCGTGTAGTTTGTAAGCTTAAGTGACAATGTCTTATCTGCAACATCTACAGAAACATCTGTAATTAGATTGGCTGCTGTATGCCCACATGTAATCCTAGGATGCTCTCTATGTTACTGCTGTCTGACACTGTGCAGCTGTTGACAAACAGAAGAGGCCAAAGACAGGTGAACCTCCTCAGACAATAAAAGGTAAATCACTGCATTTTCTCGTATGGGCAAATTACCAGTGACTTTACTCAACACAGATCATTAAGAGGCCATGTTTCATGTCTCTATTCAGTCGCTGTTGACCCATATAGTGACCCAATTTAGCCTCTATCTTTCTTATGGAGAGGAAAACATTTGGCTATTTGTAATCAGTAATAACAATAATTGACCACGTTTATCAGTGGACACACAAATTGGTCATATTTATGACATTTGAAATAGTGTGTTCACTTTAAAGTAATAATGTTTGTTTTTGTTTTTTCCCTGTTGTTATTTTGACTGTATAAAGCTTTTTTCCCACTTTTCAGGCATTCATACATTAGAGGTGGGTTAAGTGTCTTGCTCAAGAACACATGTCAGAATTCACCGATAGAAGCTGGTTTCACACCTGCCAACTTGCAGGTCAGTCAATTTCATATTTAGATTACTGTTTTATATGATATATGTAACATTATTTAGAGTAGAGTAGACTTACCATGATAAAACATGAAGAAGTTCAGTCAATATTTCTGCTGTTAAGTGTGTAACGCCATAACAACAGTGAATAAACCCATAATCATAAATTAACATGAAGTGCTGTAATTTCATCCCATTTACTATAGATATTTTCAACATTTTGGTTGAAGCGTTCACTAATTCCCAACAGGATTCTCCCAAACCTAGACGTGATGCCAGAACAGCCCTGAGATGAATGTCTACAGCTGATCCCCAGAGTGGCTTCCTCATTGCTGTCTGTTCATCACATGACACAGACTACACATTGGCCCAAGGGACAAGTGCTCATCCCATGCTTTTGGAGACCCCAGGGGGAGACTGTAACTCAAGCATCCAGGTATAAAGAGCAGACAAGAACTGTGGGTAGAGTTCCTTGAGCACATTGCTTCAACTGTTTTGAAGCAATGTGTTTTGTCTCCTCTGGGGCCATTAGCAAAGAACAGCCAAGCTTTCACTGGGACATGTTGCAGTGTGAGTCAAATGAGTGCATCTTGTTATAGGAGGACACTTAATTTATAGTGTCTGGACACATGGAAGGTTATTTCACTAAAACCTGAATATATTCAGTTTTGACTTAAAGTAAACAAAGGCATATTCATAGTTACTGCTTTTTTCTGTAGTATAATTTAGCTGGCTCCAAACTGACATTTAATTGACAATTACATCATAAATCATATATTATGCATGGGGTCAAATTCTTATGTAATGAAAAAATATGAAACAATAATTATGTCATCCAATATTCTGGTCAGTTTACCTTTAAATAGATTTTGTACATTAAATATGTGTTTTTTTGTTTTGTTTTTAAGTGACTGCACTGATACAAATGTTTTGAGATGTCATGTTTGGCCACAGTGCTATTCCTCTCCACTGGAGGGCGCTCTTGTCCACTCACCACGAGGGAACGTTTTAGAGCTTTACGAAGTAAGTTGGTAAATATTCTTTATTTATTGAGCTAATTTTACAGACCAGGATTACACAAAGCGCTTTGCAAGGTGTGTTTTTACATTCAGTCCGCACACCGTGATGGCGGCTTCAGCAAAATCAAACATCAAATCAAGCAGAAATCAACAGGTAACCTTGAGTTAAACATCCACGCTATCAATATAAAGTTTTACTAATATTACATGAAGTGTAATTTGTACTGGGCTTTATCCATACTCAATCTTATGACCCACTAGCCTCAAGGAAAGTGATGATTATTCTATCAAGACGGGTTAACCAAGATTTTTATTTTTGTCTTTTTCCACAGATATTGATAGGGGATAGTGGAAATTATGGTATTAATGCACTTTTTGTGATTGATACATTTGCTTGCTGACCCTTATGAGTTACAGTCATATACCGTATATTAGGCTACAGTGGTTTGTTGTCCCACTACTTGACTTTCTACAAACATAATGACATACACACGCACTGCAGCCTCCGGACTATAATGGCTGTCTGTCTCTTCACAGATGTGGCTTCATCAAAGTGGCCTTCCTGGGACAGGGGAGCCTCCGCATGGGAGCAGACTCCTCTGAAGTCAGGAGGTCCGTGTTTGCTCCAGAGATTACATACCATGCTGAAGCCTGCAGTCTGCTCCCACCTCCTGAGGCTGAGGCTACTGCTTATGATGCTGCAGGTCTGGCCCAGGCTCATGGGTGTCATGGTGAGTCCCCTTCTCTGTGGCATGGGGAGAATGTTGACTCAGATGGGACGAGTAAACAGGACTGTAGTGAGGCCATGTGGGTGCCCCATTCGCATGTAGGACAGGACTAGTGGATTAGGCTAATGTCCATCCAGGAGGGGGGTGATGCATAGCTGCTTTCCCTTGACAGGAGGTGATGGATTAGGGCTTTGTCAGGACCCATGTCTTGCCCAAGGGACCTGGTGATGAGAGAAAGGGTAGACCAGAGAGAATATCAGGACCCAAGGGCAGCCCAATCCCAGGATCAGCTACATGTTGACAGGGGATTATCCTTGTTTTTGTGTGTTCATGCAATGTATCAGTAAGACAGAAAGTGCACAGGAGTCTTGACATTATCTGACACAAGTGAAAAAGTCCTAAACTATTATTACTACTAATGTGCCAAACAGAATCTGCACATCACTTTTATAATGTTATTTGGCCTACATACATTTATATTCATGAAGTAATCATACCAGCAAAGGCCAAAATGAACAAAAACCTATTAGATCCTTTGGTTTGACTATTGACAACAAGCAAAGACTCATACACTAAGATAGCTGGCGATTGCACAACACTGTTGGACGTGGTGTGGAAGATCTCACCCACGTTTTACTCCATTGCTCATAATGTGGAAAGCAGATTGTGTGTTTTTATGGTTTCCCTTTGAAATGCTGCACATTTGACCCCTCCTTTCCCCATCTGTGATTTTTACTGCAAGCTCAGTTTATTTCTGGAAAGCTCCTTTTCTCCTCAGCTTGTTTAAGATTCCTGTCAAGTGTGCCACTGTTTACGTTTGCCATTTGGAGCAAACAGTTAAGTGAGGTGATTAGGGATTTGCTCATGATCTCCACTAACCAAACACAAACAACTTGATATAGTCCGGCCAGTTGTAATGGTAATTAGCAATAATTAGCACTGTCTTAGGGTTTGGGATAATTGTACAATTTCAGAAAATAAGCAGGCAGAAAGAAATGTCATGCTAAAATTAGTGTCTTATAAGACACTAATTATAATAATTATGCCCTGACAAGTTAGCAGAAAGATCTTGTTTTTAGAAGTGAGCTTTTCTATCTTTCTGTAACAGGACTCATTGAAATATAATATTTTGACACAAAATACTAGTTAAAGCTGAGGCACCGAACTTTCAAACCATAACAAATGGAACTATTTAATATAATCTATCCACCCTCACTCTTTCCTCCTAAGTGCAAAAGATAACGTGGTTTTTGATAGCATTTTGTTGTCAAATGTTACTTTTACAAGACTCAACAACAGCAAATCCAATTATTTGTGGGGAAAAACATAGGTATACCAGCTTTAACCACAGATATACTTTAAGATGTTTCTGACTGCCTTGTAGAAAAATATTCCAAAACGTTGATCTAAGGTTAATGCATAAATTAAGTTGGCATAGTCTACTGTGGCCCATACTCTCAGCTTGACATGAAGGTAGGGGAAAGAGGGGAAAGAGGGGGCAGAGTGAGACTGTCTGTGAGATAGTGACTGACATGTGGCGGGCAGCACTGATCCATCTCCTGACGAACTTGTCGCCTCACCACGCTCCGTGTGTCAGGGCCTGGCAGGCTCGGTGTCAGTGTGGGCGGCCTCCTGACACGCGCTCTCTCCGTCTGGACCGACACCCACACCCACGTCATGACGTTCGCACATGTGGGACCTGCTCCAAGCTCAGCCTCTGCTTTATGTCTCAACCCTGCTGCTCTGCTCCATTTGTCTTGTGACTTTGGTGTGGTGTGGTCATGATCCTAACATGTCAAACTCCATTTCAATACTCAATACTGTAATAAGAATAATAATAATGCATTGGTTTTACAAGACACTTCACATGGCATTATTCATTCTTTTTGCACACAGCGGTATAAACTACTACTGTAGCCACAGCTGGCTGATTTGAATGTTTCTTTATGATTTAAATGTCTTCAATCTTAAAATGGTTATTGGGGGATTTTCCCACATTTAGGAAATAACCGACCTCTCTATATTTTGATAAACTCTCTGGTCTTGTTTGACAAGCACGTATCACCAGAATTATTGACAATTAGCAGGACCAATAGTCTTGATGATCTACTTGGAAGTAGAAAATCCTCCGATACACCTTTAATTATTTTCTTGTTTTGTTGAGCGCTTTGAGTTGTTTTGTGTATGAGCTGTGCTATACAAAAAACCTTGCCTTGCCGTGTCTGGTAAGTGAGCAGTTTGTGCCATCGACCTCGCTGACCATTTTAGTATCAATACTTCCTCAATATCTGGTTTCAACCCTGATTTTCTTTGATCAATTATCTGAGTTTTAATATTATTGTTGTTTTTCCATGCAAGTAGCTGAAGAGTTGTATTGAATATGGTAGAACTCTTATGACTCTGTTATAGGCTGGTCAATGTTTCACTTTAGCATACATCAGTGTTAAGCGGAGATCAAGTTTCTATGGCTTGTAAAAGGGATTGACCACCAGGGAGCATCGGTAAGAATGCACTGAGTGGAGATGATCCAGTTTTTGGGTTTATTAAAGTTTCTTCATAGCACACTTATTTACAACAGGTCTTTGTATCTGCGTGGTTCTGTACAGTATGTGTGGGTGGTCTTTTTTTATAATTCACACGGAGAACCACAAGGTCCGAAAAACACTCTGCAAGTGATAAACTTAGCAAAATAGTGCTCTCAGTGCACCTTGAATATACAAACTTTTGATTGGCCCGGATTAGCTGTCAATACAACCCAGAATATAAACACTTTCGATTGGCTAATCCACATCAACTGAAATGCCGAAAAGGGCCGTCCTTCGTCACAAGCAGTTTTAGATAGTTTGTGTTTTTATTCTTGAATTTTAAACCCTAACTATAAGATTCAGACTGTTATTATTATTTTTTTTTTACAAATTGCATTTTTTGTTGCAAATTCATAGTAGGGCACTGCAAGTTAATCCACTCAGTACACGTGTGTACAAGTGCGAGTATGACTGTGAAGATACAGTAAATGAAAAGTCTACATTGTGTCGTCTACCTGTAGTTAAACAACAACAAGTGATAGTTTAATATGTTTCAAAGTTATGAAATACTAGACCCTCAACTAGACAACTTCTCGCACCTGCCTTAATATTTCTATGTATCACAAAGGAGGCTGATAATCATGTCACTCTCTTTGCCTTGCTATGATAGTGCTAATTGGCCTAGATCAGACCATTCTGCTCCAAAGTGACGTCTATTTTCTGAGTATGGTCTTCGGAGTATTGTGGACTGCACAGGTTGGCGGAAAAAGGGCACAGTTTGGCATGAATTTGAAATGTCTGTAGTGTTAGTTGTGGAGCTGGAAAAAGGCATCAGCATCCTTACTCAAGCCGTTGCTTTTGCCGCAAATTGCATTACTAGGACTGCATAAATTCAGTGAGAAATTGTCATTCATATTCACTAGCCGTGTGTCTTCACATAACAGATGTCCGTTTGCCGGCACACTACATATTCATCCAGTGCATTCCTGCAGGTGTGTATCTCTCCATGCGATGTGGGTACACAACATGGGGATGGGGTGGGGGTGGACCGGGTCTTTAGACACAAAAGACCCCCTTGGGTTCTCTCAGTGGGTATAGGTGGAGTGCATTTAAAGGCCATTCAGTCTTGACCAGGACCCCCTAAAGACATCCTCAAATTCTGGAGATGACTACCTGCCCAGGAGCCCATCTCTGCCCATCTGTCCCTCCTAACATCCTCCTCCTCGCACTGCTCCCGCCCACACACAGGCACACCCCAGTGGATGATTGCTGACGCAGCTGACGTCATGCTGATCGTGCTGAAAGCCCGAGGCGGGGGTCCGTGGTCGTATGTAGGGGGTTTGTGTGCCGTAGGAGGCTGTGGCTGTTGAATCTGAGTGAGTGGGAGTGAGTCGGTGGATGAGTGGGCTTTCAGAGGAGGTGATGGATGTGTTTGAGTAGGTGTTTGTGTGAGTGGGCAAATACTTGTGTCGGAGGAATTCAGTGGGTGTCTGTGGGTGCCAGTGCATTATGGGTGTAGGTCCATGAAATATATCTAACATTGATTATGTATTGTTTTGTTTTGAAAGATTTTTTTACAATTAGTTATAATAGTAAACATGCCTTTTACCAATGACTTACATTGTATGTACACATACTTTGTAGTTATATCAATAGATTCACTTAAGTCACTGTTTGATCATAATACACTTCTCATCATATACTTTCCATCATACAATAATACTTATCTCACACAGTACTGTTGAGTACAAAAAGACTCACTGTCTCATGATTCACAAACAAGTTTATTACAAAAGTCTGATTAATGGCTCAATAAATGCACCTGGTTGACCAGGCGTGAGAATCTCTCTCTGTTCACCCCATAAGTGCGAAGAATTCTCTGAGCACTTTCTGGCAGACAGGCACACCGCCGGCTGCCTCCATGAGGCCCGCAGGCGTGGGAACGAGCGGCTCTGATAATAAGCAGCGTTTGGCCCTGCTAACCTCCACAGGCTTGGCTTGGACAAGTTGTCTCTTACTCCCAGCCTTGTTTTCTCTCCCCTTTTCTCTGTCAGCAAGGAGTCACTGAAGGGGAGGTCAGCCAGGGAGAGGCCCGCAGCTGTGCCTCTGAGCTTCTACACTGTTTATTTGGGCAGGCCCAACCAAAATAAGCTCCAGCCAGTCATTGCTCCTGAGAGCTGAGGCCACCGGTGCGGCACGTTTCATCCCGAGAACAGGGAAAGTGCTTTGACCATAAAAGCAGTGCGCAGTACAGTTACCACACAACAGCTGTTTAGTCTGTAGGGAGGAAGTGAGCTACAGATGTGTGCAGGACGGATTGTTTTGTTCGCACACCTACTCCTGACATCCTTCTGACATGTGCTCAGCTTCACTCTATTTCTGCTCAACTTATAGTAAATATACAACAGCTGAATCTGTTGTATTCCATGTAGTTAAAAGTTGTAGGGACCAAAATTCAAAAGGTCAAAGTTTTGCTAATTGTCATGAGATGAGATGAAGGAGGACCCAAAAAGCAGGAAAACTAAAATTTAATGATGATAAAATTAATATTCCAAGGTAAAAGAAACCTAAAAAATCCACAGCAAACAAAACCAATGGTCCAGCAACAAGGGAAGAGGAGCAGAGGGTAGAAATAGACACAGAGAGACACAGGTGAAACACATTAGCAATCAATCAACAGGGGAACAGGACATTAAAGTAAAACTAAAACCAAACCAGAGAACTGATCGTCAAAATAAAACCAAGCACAAAATTACACAAAATCCTCACCATGACAGTTTTCAAGATTTCACTGATATTTCAATAATGGAAGTTAAAATATAGACGTGTTCAATATGTTCAATCTAATTTTAAAGCAGACAAAAAAATATGATCACATTGTAGCCCTTTGTCTGCAGAGGAGTGAAGCGGCTCGTTTCACTAACACTCCATCATGGGCAAAGAGGCAATTCTAAGCGGCAAAAGACAACTCATATGGAGCTACGTGAGTTGTTTCTTCTGTAACATAATTTTACCTCATTCCTAATTGGTTCCTAATTCCTAATATGGTCCATTTCAAATGGACCATATTGCAGGGGTTTTTAGGTCAATATCAAATACAACTCAGTACTTATTTGTTTGATTGGGTGGCATTGTGGCTGAGTGGTTAGCACTCTCGCTTCTCAGCAAGGAGGTCCTGGGTTCGAATCCCGGTAGGAACAAGGCCTTTCTGAGTTTGCATGTTCTCCCCGTGTCTGCGAAGGTTTCCTCCGGGTGCTCCAGTTTCCCCTACCACTAAAAACGTGTACAATAGGTCTGGCATGCGCCTCCTGGACCTTGCTCTCATCTCTGTGTGGAGTGAGAGACAAATGCCCATGATAAATAACTACTATAATAATTACTTACTACTTGATATCAGGGCACTGGACCAAACTCAATCTTGTACTAGTGTAATACTCCAGATAAATGGAATTGCACAGAAAGCCCCAAAAGTCAACGTCCTGGTCGGTCGACGAGGTCCACACGTTACTCTCTTTAGGCCGAAGAAAGAATTCAAAGGGAGCTCGACGGCTCAACACGGAACAAAAGGTCTTCAGGGAGATCACCCAGCTCTGGGTTTGTGGCTTTTCTCTGTAGTAATCGTTAAAATAACTGTTTACGTATGCCGTTGGCGCAAAGCTCTCACTGAAATGTATTTAATCAAGTGAGGAGATTTCCAACGAGCAATGAAGGACCCGGCGTACTTTACATTCACTTCACCTGAACTCAAGAGAAACACGTACTGAATTTTCTGTTAAATACTTGCTGTTCGTGTGTCCGGCCTGGTGTCCTGAAAAGGTTTTAGTGGCCAGTTCTGAAGGGGGTGAGCGGAGTCCCCTAGGAGGTAATAGTAATAGCCAGCAGTCACCCCACCAATGTTGCTTGTTACGTTGCGGAGATACTTGGAAGTACTTGTTTTAATGGAAAAGCATCCACACTCGGCTGGGTTCAGGAGTCCCATCACCGCGCCTTGAAACAGACAATTGGATAACTGGTGAATAGCAATGAATAGACTACAGCAGAAGTCATAATGATGGCAGATAAAGTAGGAAAATAGTTCTTGAGTTACCATGCTTCTCCGTGGAAAGTGTCTCCACATGCAGCTTGACTGAGAATTGAAACATTAACAAAAAGATTCTAAAGGAGTGTGAGATTTCATAACATAACACTTTTAAGCAACTTTTGTTAAAGTTAAACTCATCATTCTATCAATGTGCAGAAGCCTGTACTTTTCCACTTCATGTTTTGTCTATCTGAAGGCCAAGCTACATGGCACCGTGGAAGCTGCTGATTGGAGGTCTCCATGCCTCCGCTCTGTATAATACACTTGCATTCTGTGTTCGTGTTGTTCGTGCTGTCTCTACCATAGACAATAAAACATGTCTTCTGTCTGAATTAAAGACGCGATCCCAGACTTTGTCATCTTCTTCAGGAGTACTAAAAAAATATTTCCTCGGCGGCCCGGTTCAAATGACCGGGAGTTGGGGACCACTGTCTAGACTACATATTGTCCATCAAAGACTACCATAGTGCTTCTGGTTGACAGTAGACTGCAATATATGATCTCAATGCTGAATGGGAGTAAAAGGCAGGTAAAGCCCTGTGCCATCTAGTGGAAGTTAATGTCATGCTTTCTTATGATTTTATGATTTTTTCAGCATGTAGAGTGTGAAGAGAATTGGGCCGAGTACCAAGCCTTGCAGTGACACACCAAATTTCACTCCAGTAGGGGGAAGAGTTTTAGTACATTCAATACAGTTTATATTAGGGCTGTCAAACAATTATAATTTTTTGTCAAGATAATTACAGCTTAAAAATTAACTAATCGTATTTAATCACATTTTGAACTATCGGCAAAATTATGCCATATTTTTCTGTAAATGGTTGTTTGAATGGAAAGATAAATGACAACATTACATATGTGTACATTTGTACTGTGTTTGTTTGTTATAACAACAATAAATCCTCATAAAATGGGCGGCGCTGTTGCAAACAGGCCATGCCTCCTCTAGCGTCTTCAGTGCAGGTAAACAAGAGCAGCATGGCAGCAGAAAGTGGCTATACCTGCTCTGGCTGAAACTGCATACACAGTAAAACAGCCCAAAAGATGCAACAGTGGGGAGGAGAAGAGGGAACTAAAGCAAAAAAATTATCAAAGAAGAAATCAATCCCAGATGAACATAGGTAGCTTATACATCGTATCCTCTGGAGAGACCTGCGGGAGTGGGACTGCCTCGGACTACATTTGGACGCGAAACTGGTGGTAATCTTCCAGTTATTGTGCTGTATATTTTGTTAGCAGTGCGTTGCTTTTGTACCATTTCATCAGTGATTGTTGTATAGCTTATAAGAAGTTGTGCTAATGCTAACTAATGTCTATCAGATCGCTACTAAAACTAGATGGGGGGAGGAGAGCGTAGGGGAGAGTAGGAGGGTTTCTCAAAATGAGAGGCTTGTGAGTGGCACTTCTGAGTGTTATTATGGGATGCATGGGCGGGTCATTCGACACATGCATCCAATGCGTGATTTTATTTAAAGGAGATTAATGAAAAAAATGTATTAACGTGCGTTAACGCGATAAATATTCTTTTATATAAACAAGCGCTATGAAAATTAATTGTCAAGAATAACAGCACAATGAAATCCCTCAGTCTTTGTCTGAGTGAGGTCCAGCTTCTTAAGGGAGCAAAAGCCCTGTCTCAAAGGTACTCTGAAGTATCTAAATTGTGTGATCTAAATTATGAGAATCAGCCAATATCTGTGAAATGGACAGTTTATACAAGAAAAACTGTGGGTAGCTCTTGTGATCCGGTGGTCATTTTGTTTTTTGTTTGTTTTTTTATCTGGCTAAGGCCATCTTTCTGAAAAAGGAGGGGGCGAAGAAATATTGGCCTCTCTGTCCACAATGTCCTGTCTCATAGGGACCCATTTGCTTTTCAGTGTGCAGGGCCACACACACACACATATACACACACATACACATACCAACAGAAACGGACTGTGCAATCACATTCAAAAATTTAGCGAGGGAGCCGGATTATTAAATTCTGGTTAGTCTCAATTCTCACATGTAAAATGGATAACTTAAATAAATAAATGGATAACCGAGAAAGGTTCTTCACTGTCGTCCTTCATCCTCCCACAATATATTTGATAAAGACCCATCGGGGCTATCATCTTATCGTGAACAGAATGAAGTCATGTCCCTTGTATTGATCGCATTGTTTGTGGTGAATCTAATAGCAAAGAATAGTTTTAATAGTTTAAGAAGATATTATTAAACCGTTGTGTATGATCTTTTGTCAATGCATAATATTTAGTAGCAAATTGGATTTTGTTCCAGTCCAGAAATATTTCTCTTGGGGTTTAATTTTATGTAAGATGAATTTATTCTGTTTTGGATGATTTCAAGGACTGTTTTTCACTTTACTGACATTAATTTATTATTATCTATCAATGACTTATAATAGTAGCTATATTGGACCCTAAC